GGGCCTGCCTTGGCACTGAAGACTGAAACAAAGAAGGCATTCAGTAGCTCTGCCTTCTCTGCAGCCTCCGTCAGCAGGACACCCACCTTATTCAGCAGCGGCCCGACATTGTCCCTAGCCTTCCTTTTGCTGCTGAAGTAGTTGAAGAAGCCCTTCTTGTTGTTTTTGTCATCACTTGCCAATCATAGAAGAGCCCAGGTTGGAAGGGATTTTTAAGGACCATCTGGTCCAACCTCACGTGGAAAAGGGAGCCTAGGTGAGATTATCTAGCAACCTGTCCAGTTGCATCATATATCGGTTGTGTGTTTTCATGCCAATGTTTTGGTAGGGGGGGGGGGGCTATAGGGGTGTCTTCTGTAAGAAACTGTGAGATGCTTCCCCCACGTTTGGTAAGCCAGTGCCAGCCAGCTCTAAGATGGACCCACCGCTGGCCAAGGCCAAGCCAATCAGCAATGGTGGTATTGCCTCTGTGATAACATAGTTAAGACGGGGAAGAAAAAAACTGCAGTGAAACTGCAGTGGCAGAGAGGATTGAGACGAGGTGAAAGAAACAACTCTGCAGACACCAAGGTCAGTGAAGAAGGAGGAGGGGGAGGTGCTCCAGACACTGGAGCAGAGAGTTTTCCCCTGCAGCCCGTGATGAAGACCATGGTGAGGCAGGCTGTTCCCTGCAGCCCATGGAGGCAGCTCCACCACAGTGGAGCAGATCTCCACCTGTAGCCCGTGGAAGGGACCCCATGCCGGAGCAGGTGGATGCCCAAAGGAGGCTGTGACCCCGTGGGGGACCCACGCTGGATCAGCTTGTTCTTGAAGGACTGCACCCCATGGAGGGAACCCACACTGGGGCAGTTCGTGAAGAGCTGCAGCACATGGGAAGGGCTCACATTGGTGAGATTTATGGAGAGATGTCTCCAGTGAGAGGGACCTCACACTGGAGAAGGGGAAGAGAGTAAGGAGTCCTCCCCCTGAGGAGGTAGGAGCAGCAGAGACAACGTGTGATGAACTGACTGTAACCCCCATTCCTCATCCCCCTGTGCCGCTCGGGGGGGAGGAGGGAGAGAAACGGGAGTGAAGTTGAGCCCGGGAAGAAGGAAGGCGTGGGGGGAAGGTGTTTTAAGATCTGGTTTTGTTTCTTATTATCCTACTCTGATTTGATTGGTGATAAATTAAATTTCCCTTTCTCCCCAGATTCAATCTGTTTTGTCCATGACGGTAATTGGCGAGTGATCTCTCCCTGTCCTTATCTTGACCCTCGAGCCTTTCATCATATTTCCTCTCCCCTGTCCAGTTGAGGAGGGGGCGTGATACAGTGGTTTCAGTGGGCACCTGGTATTTATCCAGGCCAAACCAAAACAACATCACAATAAATTCTGTGGGGGAAAAGACAAAATTCTTAGCAACTCCGAGCGTCTTCAAAGCCAGTGATAAGCATCCCCCTCTGCATAGACCTGGTATGATCAGCTATGGAAATTACAATGGAGAAGTAAAAATGGGATGGATGTGATTGTAAGCTATAGGAACTTGGAAGAGAAAGAACAGATGAAGAATGGGAAGTACTCGTAGTCTAATACAACAAATCAATTAGAAATGCCCTATTGCTATGCAAGAAAAACTTCAGATAGATCTTTAAGTTAAGAAAACTGGGCAACGTAGACCAGCAAAGAAAAAGTGTCATACAGTTTAGACAAGCACTAGTGCTAGCTGTACATTCAGATACGTTCTGTATTAGATAACCATCAATAATTTAATAGATTTAATAGGTGAAGATGATAAGAATGTGGATTTTGAGCCTCTCCAAAGCATATTGATTATGTCATTAGCATACTGTATTTTGGGCAAAATTCTCTATTGCAGACTCTCAGAGTTCATCATCAGTTCATAGACCAAATACGAATATATAATTATATATGTATTATATAAAAATGGGAATGGAGAAATAAAAATCAGGAGTCAAGTTACTAACCAAGAATTTCAACAATAAAAAGAGTATAACCACTGCTTCAGACCCAACACAGGCTGGATCACCAACAAAAAAACACAGAAGGGAACCTATTTTTTACCTTATTCGCAGGCAATGCCTGGGACTTTCTCAGAGAATATAGAGGATTTCACACCAGCTCTTTCTACTTACTGGTGTGATCTATCCTTCTAGCTATGCTTTTGGTTTACAGAATTTTACAAAAAGTTTTACTGTTTACAATGTCAATGAATCTGTTTGATATACTTCGCCCTAAAAGAAAATTTAGCAACATTTTTATCATACTTAATAAAAAAAATTATGAAATTACTTACCCTATTGGTCTTGATACAACAAGCTCCACTTGTGGCTCAGGTTTGGATTCCAAAATGATGTTATACACCTCTTCAAAGGTGGCTCCTTGTAGTAGCCTTCCATTCCATTCTAATACTTCATCACCTGTAATTTCAGTAATAACATTCTACTTAGGAAGTCTGCTGTGAACTGTACCTAGAATGACAATTTCAGGCATTCTACAGTCAGTTTACTGAGCTGTGAAACCTGTGTTATAGAACTAGTTTGGAGTCCTTCATACAGGAAAATCCTGAGTGTTAAATGTTTTCTGCAGTTCAGCTTGAAATACATAAAATTCAGTGAAACAATAATGTCATCCATAGGATGCCTACTGAATTAGATATAGCTCTTACTTGCTTTGGCAGCTGTGGCTTAAAAGAAACCCCAACATGCTCTGTAGAAAATGCAGGTCTTTAAAACAGCACATCTCATCAACTTACTATTTTGAAGATCTATTTATCTCTACAAGTTTATTATTTAAGGTTCAGATAGTTCTTATATTAATAGCTAATATTTCTTGCACATTCTCCAATCTAGCAATCCATGGTTTGCATGTTGGGATAGAAGAAGCTTCTTAGCAGAGGTGGTTCTGTTCGCACATTTGTAATAGCTTTGCTCTACAGAAAATATACACCACAATACAACTGGGCAAGACATCAGTGGAATATTATTTTGACTATAGAAACATGAATACAAATGTTAAAATATGATTTTGAACAACATAAGAATTTACATATTTCACAAAATCAGCAATGTTAATAATCTAGTAACTGAATGTCAGGTTGAATTCTGCAGTAGTTCATCACAACTATCTAACATAATTTCACATCTAATTAAACTTGCTTGCTTCTTATCACCTCCAAAAAAGCAACTCAGCAGGATAGATCTATAGCTGATACATACCTGGTCTCAGATGCCCCACTGTATCAGCTAAGCTTCCTTTTTTAACTTTGGTGATAAATGCGCAGAGTCGACCTGATTCAGTCATCTTTCCTCCTACTACCTGTTACAAAGAGGAAGTATTTTCATAGAATGGAAATTTCTTTAAATAACTTAAATGTTCTGGCAACAGAAAGAAGAGTTCAATTATTTCCTTGGTATTCAGGTAGCCCAGGTAAGAGAGATACACTTGAAAAAAATACCACAGATTTTTGGCTATGACAGGTTATGTTTGTACCTGTTTTGGCTATTTGTGTAAATTTAAACACCATGCAAATACAGACTGCTACAGCTTTTAAACTTTGGCAAATATATGAATAGTATTTCACTGTATTACCACCCAAAAAAAAAGGAAGGTGATGGTCATTAGACTGCTTACTTCAGTACTTTTTAACTGTAAATCGATTTATTAATGTAACAGAACTCACAATGTTCATGCTAAGCATCAAACACCTCTATCAATTAATCAAATCTACTTTGGCTGGGCAAGTCAGAGGAAAATACTTGCCCTACTGAAGATTTCTCTACAGGAAACTCCAACAGGTTTAACCTTACTATTTATCTTAGAATCAGGGTATTCAAATATTATAATCATTTATAACTGCATAATCTTCAAATTCTTAAGGTTTCTTTACAGTCTTCTTACTGAGATTTAAAATTTGTAATACTAAATCCAGTTTAGGTTACTTTCAATAATGCAATTATTTGAAAATTCAAGTGAGGAACAACTGCTGAAAATCACTCTTTTCAGAAGTCTATTGAGATTAAAAAGAAGTTACTCTTGAATCTATATTATTCATGAATCTCAGTGAAGCGTTCATCTTTATAATAGAAGATTTTAGCATTTTAAACGTAGAAGTTTAAACAAAATATACTTCATAGTGACACCGTGAGTCTCTTGTCTTGCATTTTCTGACATTAAAACAGTAACACACACACCAAAAGTGACGCTCAACTGGCTTCTCTACCAACTTCAAAATTGAATCATTTTTCAATTAAATCAAAAATTCAATAATCTCCAAAGCATGTTAGTATGTAAGTAACCATACAGATTTAGTCCCTATTTACAGTGTATGACTGTGGCCTAATCTGTGTACCCAAAGTGAAGCTGATGTCACGTTTACTAGAGAATAGAGAATTAATCAAACTTCTTAAAGATTTACCACAACAAGGATGTTGATTCAAAATAAATACACGCTTGTTTCTTTTACCGTGTATAATGCATTCTCATTCTTGTACTAGTATTGCTGAAACTGCAAAGAATAATATCACACAAAAAATGAGATCAAGAAATAAGCTAGAAATATCTTCATAATGTATTCAAAGAGTACTGCATCAAGAAAAAGATGCAAGCATATTCCTTTGTGATGATAATACACAATAAACACTAAATAATTTCCTGTCTTTTGTATTTAAAATTTAGTAAATCAATCAGAGGGGAAAAAATCCAGAAATAGGCTCTTCCATTGGCAGACTCTGCTCTGAATTGAAATGTCATTAACTTGTAGATGTCCCCCAGATCTTCGAAAGAGATAATTTATTTTTTCACATTTCTCCTCTCTTTTGGGGAACAGAAGTTGCAGCATGGTGCAATGTTCCATACTGAAGAAAGTGGGCAGGCCTTGGCTTGCCCAGCAAGGATGCGATTAGCACCTTGCAGAGCAGATATTCTCAGCAAACTTGTGAAAACATGCCTTGCCTTTCTGAAAAATATGGGGTTTGGGCCTGTCAGGGACCCTGTAAAATTGCTTTCGGTAACTGAATGTAAAATGTTGCTATATTGTAATTTTGAGAATGATTAGGACAGTACAGATATCTGTATGCATACTCCATACAATATGAGAATACTTTCATTATAAAGTTAGCTAGTTTAACCGAGAGAGTTGTTAGTTCCAAAATCACTCATTACGAACCTTCAATCCAAGCATTGCTCCTGAGTCTCTAGGCACACTTCCATCTTTTAGTCGTTTATTTAACAAAATCCGACCAATGAGACAGTCTCCATCTTTGGATGGTTGCCACGTTACTGGGTGCTATCATATGGTGTTAATAGAAAATACAGTGAATAGGATTTTAAACAAAAATATTTCAATAATACTTTTCATTTCCTGATATATTTTTAAGATACCATGAAAGTATTATGATTACATTAATATTTCATGTAATAGAATGAGAGAAAACCATGCTGGAAAAGATTTATTTGAATATATAGTCCATCACAATATATTTCTACTATTTAATAACATTATTCTACTAAATCCAATTTGTAAATATCTAGAATGATCTTTGCATCCTGATGATAAGACAGATACAGAAAACTATGGGTACTGATACAAACAGCTGTAGAGGTCTAGTATAAAAGTAAAAAGAATTTTAATTCAAAACAGAAATTTGGTGTAAGATATTTCGTCTTTTTCCACTATTCCAGGCATGTCAATTTTCTCTCAAACTGACAAAACTTTTCAGTGTTTTACTTTCTCTCGGTAGTAATATATTAAAACTTACAGAATATATTAAAAATTATAGTAATTACTCTATTTAAATGTATTATTTCTTTCTTGGAATAATTACTGCACATATGAAGCATAGTCACAGTGAATGTTTTTATTCCATTCCCATACAAGGGCACAGTTATACTTGTATATTGGAATAATAAAATTCTAACATTTTATATTGTGTAATCATAACACTTTTTCACAGGTAAATACTATTTCATGCTCTGTTTCATGCAAAACTAGCAGGCATAGACAAATCTGCTCCCATTACAACTAACAACTCTAAAAAGATTTATCATAATCTCCACCAAACAGAAAGCAAAAATAAAAAATACCAAAGCAGATGGCAAAGCCTTTAATTTTGCACAATACTGCACAGAAATGGCATGGCAACAAAACAAAAGAACAACCATGACAGTGAAAGGGAAAAAAGAAAAACAACTTTTCTGTGCAGAGAGACCCAATTTTCTCCCTTTTTCACCTGGGGTTTAAACTATTAATTTAATTTCAGCCCCAGGAGTTTGAACAGAATAAATCATATAAGCCAATCAGTAGAATCCTTATTGTTAATTACTTTATACTTGAAGGCAATACCATGATTTGCTGTTATGCAACTGTAAGAACCACATTCCTTTACGCTTCTCAATTTTTTTTTTTAGGCTGTCAAAGAGTAAAAGCCGCAAGCATGCAGAGACGTTTCATTTGTTTTTCTTTTCTGCACCTTAAGAAATGTTACATTGTCTCTAGAAACACCCTATCTTTTATTTTATGCACTATTTTAATGAGTGACAGAGAGCAAACAAAGACCGAATGAGCAGGTTAAAATGCAGGCTCCATAATCTCAGTACCTTCTCACTATGGCTATGTTCCTCGTTTAGAGTTGTGCTACTACACGTATCTACCCCAGAGTCTTTTATCTGAGGCTCAGACCATTCCAAGTCCTCTTCCAAAGAGTGGCCACCAAAGCACACCATTTTCTTTTGCCCCTCGGATAAGGCATTAGAATCCGACAAAACTGCCTGCTCACTAGTTTTTCTTTTTCCCCTTTGACTGTCCCCTATAGGTGTGGGATAAAAAAAAAAAAAGATACAAAAAAGAAAACATGCAAAGGTGTAAATAAAACAAAGGAAATGTGAAATGATAAAGGAAACTAAATGGTAAGGCTCCACATGTCTCACCAAAGACATTGGGGATGCCTCACTGCTATGCCAAGACGTATGGTCCAACCAGTTGTAATCCATGTCTCCTGTGAGAATCAGACAGACAAGATAGTGCAGTAAAGGAAAGGTGAAAGAAAGGATAGACAAAGATACAGTAAAACTGCAAAGGCTTCTGATTATCCTGTTTGATTCATAACCTCTGCTAGCAGGACTTGTGAATTGCTTCCAAGAAATAAGGCTCCAACAACAGAGTATACAGAATAAGAAATACAGTGAGGAAGGAGGTACGTTTGTGTGTCTACCTGTGCACAAAATTATGTACGGTTCAAAGCGTCACTGCTTCAGAGTTTTTAACTGTTCCTATAAAATTACTTCAGTAAATTAAATGAAAAGGCAAAAGGTATCGTGCTCCTAACAGAATTTTCAGAAAGCAAATCATTTGAATATGGAATGAGTTTTCATCACAATCTAAAGAAGCTGTTTTGTCTTAAGGAATGTATTTCTTTGCTTTCCTAACACAACTAGTATCTATTGTAATCACTTCAGCAAAATATTTAAAACAATGTTATTCTATATTCACCTGTACAGTAGATGATGTTTTAGGGAAGGCTAAATGATCTGTTAAATATGATTGATTTATAAGAAAAACAAATATAGAAAATATTTTGAGAATAAAAGGCATATTAATGTTGCTTGAAATTGCTACAGAAATGTTTACTGGTTAAATATCAGGAACAATTCTAGTAAGTACAGGTACCTCATAACTGGGCATGATTGTGTAGGGTTTTGACGAAATATATATGTGTATTTTATACCATCAGAATTTAACCTGTGTGGCAGACACATGGTTGGAAGAAAGATTTAAAAGATGGTTTTAAAGAAAATGTCTAAATTAATGCTGCTGTCCATAGAACTGGAGAATGACTCATGTATTTTAATAAAACATTCTCTTTTATCTGGGTACTTAAAATTGTAAATTATGCCCACACATTTTGCATTATTACATTTCTCTCTTTTTTTCACCATTGCTACTATGTGTTACATGAAAAATATTTTGTTACTACAAGCTACATAATATTATGAAACTATTATATGAAGAAAAAAATGGTGACTTTTCTACTTAATCTCAGGGCTGGACCAAAAGAACACTAAACCAAAGTAGTTCTGCACTTTTTAGTACAGACCACAAATGATATTTTTTTACTTCCATTACTTCAGATCCTGCTTTCACATTGCTCAACCTATTCCTCTGAAACTACATCAATACATTGGTGAAATATAACTAATAGGTCTAATCACAGTCTTAACACTTGTCCGGAGAACTTTACAGACATGATGTGAAGATACAGCCCAATAAAAATAAGCTACAAAAAGTTAGCATGTGCTTTAGAAAAGTAACATATAATCTTCTCAGAGGCATATTATGTACTATGAGAAATATGATCTTTTTGTCACTTGTTTTCTCCTGATATGTAGACTTGCATATGCTATATGGAAAAAAAAAGTTAAGCCTCATTTTAAAGAAAAAAGTGTACAGAATACAAAGGTCTTCTTTTCAAAGACACACTTTGAACTTGGTCCCTTACATTTTGCAGAAACATTGCACAATATTATATATCTTTTGATTTCATAAAAACAGTTGTATAGAAAGTATTTCGATGCTTCAATTCATTCATATTTTCCAAGTAATGAATGGGCCTGCTGTAAATGTATTAACTGTGTTTCTTGATTCTGGAAAGGAAGACAACATCTTAAAATGGGCAATTCTCACCAAAACAACAGTTAACATCTTCACTACTTTACAGATAAAAGTGTGGCTATCCTGTTAAAGGGAAATAAATACTCTTCTGAAAGCTAATAACATTTTGCAAAATGTACTTCTGGCATGGAATTTGCAGTGCTGTCTTACCTCTGTCTCCAAAGACATTGTTTCAGAGGAGTTAAGTGAAATCATCAGTGAGCTCATGAAGATCTACCCTTTACTGCATAAATACACATTTAGAAATAGCCAGAAGACCACAAGAGTTCCAGTCTACATATTGCCTGTTTTACAAATCCTCATTTTAAAATATATTTAAAAATGGATCTTAAGTGAGGAAAACTCCTCAGCTTTAATTGTATGAACTGAAGGCATATAAGCTCATACTGTGTTTTCCTAGAAGATATATTCTGCATCATCACTACAACTGCTGCACCCAAAACCAAAGTCTAACCAAAAAAAGTTGTAATTTGGTTCCCTATAATTTTGTACCTAATTCTAGGAGCAAAGCAGTGAAATACAATGGGCTTTATAAGTAGAACAGTTAAAACTGATCGTTCTTACTGATTCTAATTCCTGACTATTTCTGAGAAATGGCCTAATTTTCACTGAAATGACTAAATTTAAATGTAGATATCTACCATTAGGCATTAAGAATCCACCACTGAAAAATACTGGCAATTTTTTAAGGTTTTAAAATTCTTAGCAGCAATCTCGACTATTACTTGTAATCCCAAACAAGCCACCAGAGAGGAACCCTCAAGTACAGCTATTATGTCCTTGCTGTTCTACAGTGAACAGAGTACCCATCATGGCTTTGCCAGTTCGTGCCTTTTCTCATATCAGTTACACAGTTTTGTATGAGCTTGTCAAGAGCAAAGATTCCTATCAAACTGAACTTTCGCTTGTGTGTCTACATAGAAAACAAGTTCTTCAAAATAGGAAAATAAGTTATTGAAAAGTTGAGGCCCCTGAGATGTACTGACCAAATACACATTCCCACTGCAAATGTGCATGCACCTAGACACCAAAAACCAGTCCAATCTCCACTTGTTACTTGCATGTCCACAATATGTACATATAGGCATACACTCAAAGACAGAAATCAATTAGCTTTACAGTAACTGTACTTAACAGTACAAATGTGCTGTACATACAGAAGTTCATCCTATAGGATTTTACAAGAGCAAATGTTGAGCAGTGTTGGGGTCTAACACTAACAGCCTGGCATATGCACATCCATATTTGAAACATGAACATTGACTTTCAGCTAGAGAAAGAAATTCTGGATCCTTTTTTTTTTTCATCAGAGCTCTCCAAAATAGTAATCTACATATATTAATGCATACAAAAGTATGTGATATTATTGATATCACATATTATTTAAGTTATTGAGAGTAATAAATTACTGAGAGTGATAACAAAATTGTAAAAACTTCCAATTATACAGTAAAAACAAAATACATTGGTTATTTTCCTACTACAGAACTTTCAATTTCTGTCTGCTTTCAGGAAAAAAAAAATCTCTTAAGGTAAATCTTTTTACATCCCGTTAGAAAAATTTTAAAGATAAGTCTCAAATAATTGAATCTAGATGCTTCTCATTCTTCTACCCAAACTTTGGATATTTATTGTACAGATCTGTACATCTGAATTAACCAGACTATGTTCCTTTTATAATCATTGAAGGGAAACAGAGCTTTATAAGGTGTGGTTCATTTGACCTGTTTTGGATGTGTACTTCCTGGTGAGATAAATCATACCTTCGTCATACCCAAAATGCCTTATTTCTCCTCCACTGCTTATAAAAGAAGACTCAGTGACTTATTCAGATGGTCTTAATCTTTTCACCAGGAGGATCCTACTACCCTAAATTACTATTTTGACGCAGCCTCAATTATTTGTTTACATATCCAAGAAAATACCAAAATTGTCACAGAAAGGACTCAGGGCTCTTCAAGCTCTTATGGAAGGCAAGTCTACTGGACTGCTTTTATACAGTTAGAAATACCAAATACCTTTTTAATATGTCACTTGAACATGATGTCATATGTTCTCCACTCGTCGCCTTAGCAGTGGTAACAGAGACTAAAAGGATCTCTGGGCCAGTTTCAGTCTTCAAGTTCCAAACTCATCTGCTGGTGTAACTGATTTCTGCTTACCAAAAAGGTTTCCAAGAGTCCTCTCAGTGATGTATTATCATATGGTGCATCCACATACTACATGTGTCCAAAATTAGATACATTTAGAACAGCATACCCAAGGCATTAGCACATAGACATTACTTAAATTTTAAAATATCCAGTTATGTGGCAGCAAGTTACTCTCCATCAAATGGTAAGCCCTGAACCTAAACCTGCACAGAGGAACACACGCAAAATTGAGCCTGTTGCCTGATCAAAGCACTCCCACTTCTTGCTCTACTGTTTTTTTTTGTCTCTCCTCTTCAGTCAAGATGTAGAAAGCTGATTCTCTTTTTAAATTAGTCGTGCCTCACAGTAAATACCAATTATTCTCAAATTAAAATGATAAGAAAGGAAACAACAACTCCATCAAAGGACTGTTTTCTTCATATCTATATTCTTTTTTCCATTAAAATATGTAGTTGTATATTTTGAAAAAATTCTCATAGAAATTAGAAATTATAAAGCCCTTGTAGATCATCTAGATTTTACCCTTAACACTGCATTAAGTCATCTAAATGACAGGTCTAAATACAATAAAAGTTAATAAAATCCAATAAAACTATTATTAATAAAATATTTAAACTTCTAAATATATGCCCAAGGTGACTGTCTGGAAGCCCTGTAGCATATTACATTTCTATGAGAGACATGTATTGCCTGGCACACCCACACTTTCTTGAGGTACAATGAATTACACGTATTACAACTGCCTCAACTAAGAAAAAAAGGAGGGTCATTGTCATAGGTGATTCCCTTCTGAGGGGAACAGAGGGCCCGATCTGCCGACCGGACCCATCCCACAGGGAAGTCTGCTGCCTCCCTGGGGCCCGGGTTAGGGATGTTGCGAAGAAACTCCCTGGTCTGGTGCGGCCTTCTGATTACTACCCCCTCTTGGTAATGCAGGTTGGCGGGGACGAGGTAGCAGAAAGAAGTCCCAAGGCCATCAAAAGGGACTTCAGGGCACTAGGGCGACTGGTTGAGGGATCAGGGGCGCAGGTGGTGTTTTCCTCCATCCCATCAGTGGCAGGGGACAGCACTGAAAGGGGCAGGAAAACTCACCTGGTTAACAGGTGGCTCAGGGACTGGTGCCATCGGTCAAATTTTGGCTTTTTTGATCATGGGGAGGTATACACAGCACCGG